GCTTCGATCATACAAAATCTGTTGCCCCTCGGCCCCCAAGCACGGAACCCGACCCTTGTAAACCCCGGCCGCCTCAATGGCCGCCTCATCATCCGCATCGGAATCGAGCTCGTCCTCCTGGGTCAAGCCTCGCTCCGCACGCTGCCTGTCAACGGATTCGTTGTACTTCGTCTGCATTTAAAAAAATATTTTTAAATGCTACATACTTAGATTTGAAATGTTACTAAATAACAAAATATGATGTTACATACTTCGAAGTCAGCGAGGCGGGGGTGGCAGATCGGCTTCCGACTCCTCGCCGTGCTTTGTCCAGCAATGCTTGACGAGGTTGAGAATTCCAACCCTCTTCTTCTCAGGACCAGCCTACATGGTGTGAAAAAGGTTAAGAAAATTTTGTATAATCAAGGGTTGTAATGGTGTAAGGTTTTTTTAATAGCACTTACAAGAGTTTCTTTATGGGCATACTGAGATTTGCGACCCCCGTGCCACTGCGTCTCCAAGGCCTTCTCGGACATCCGGTTTTTCTTACCGGATTCACTTCTGGCCAAGAATTTCGGATCCGAAGACCAGTGGCGACAAAGGTTGGCCCACACTTCATTCGAAACCCATTTAGGCTTTCTCGCACGGTCTCGGGCACGCTTAAAAGTGGGCCGAAGCCAGGCCGAAATCCTAGCATTGTAGGCTCTAAGAATATCAGCACCGTTTGCGTGAGTCCAACGATAGCGAGCCTTTATTAAAAAAAATTGGATTAATTAATCATTTGTTATATATTAGGCTACTACAATTACGCAGGGAACATTCATTTATTTTTACCTTAAATAGGTTCCACCATAGTTCGCGGACCTTGGGGTCAACATCCGAGTAGGTGGCCCAATTGCCAAGAAAGTGTCCTCCTATTATGTTTTTGATGCCTTCGAACACTTCTTTGTCACTTTAAAAAATTAATAGTATTTATTTATATAAGATTTGGTTGGATTATTTGACATTATATAAAATTAATTGACATAAGGTTTGTTCATAACTACTTACAAAGCAACTTGGGCTGGGGTCACCCAAATAGCTCTTTCATTGTTGCGCTCAGCTTCGGTCATGGGCGCATAGTTAGGATTAGGGTGGGCAGCCGATGTCGATTGTTCATCGGTCATCTAAAATACATTAATTTATTTTGATTTTTGTTAGTGTGATTATAATAGAAGATTAATTTTTTTATAAGTATTATCAATTGAAAATGTGTATAACATATTAAACTGTGTATAAATTTAATATTAGGGGTCCAATAATTGCTAATAAACAAATCCTATAATTAGAAATTAGTTGACCCAGTCGACCGAAGAATCGACCGGTTGGAGCCTATCAATGAGTTGACCCAATCGATTCATTGATAAGCTCCAACCGGTCGATTCTTCGTGCTGCGGCTTGAGCGCCATCGATAGGCTCTCCCAAGCGCATGTATTGACATAAATGTCAATATAAAAACTATATATAAGTATTATCAATTGAAAATGCGTATAAGATATTAAACTTTGTATAAGTTTAATATGAGGGGTCCATATTTTTTCATCATAAGTTCTTTTATAACTTGGAAATAAATTGCTCTTAGAGGTAACATGTTAAACTTTTTGCAAAGTTTACATGAGAGGACATCATTTTTTTTTATGTTTTAGATATATGAGTTTTATCCACTTTTTATAAACAGTTTTAAAAAATTATAAAAACAGTATACTTTTTTTATAAAAACTTTTTTTCTAGAAAAACAGTATACTTTTTTATAAAAAACAGTATACTTTTTAAATAAACAGTTTTTATAAAAACTGTTTTTAACAAATATGTTAATTAATCAGTTTTTATAAAAAAAAAACTGTTTTTACAAAAATCTGTTTAATAATTAGTTTTTACAAAATTCAGTTTATTATAAAAATCAGTTTTTAGAAAAACAGTTAAACTACTAACCAAAACAGTCTAATTGTCTACTTTTTTTTACAAAAATCAGTTTTATAGTTTTTTAAAAAAAATCACTTTACCATTTTGCTATAAAAACTGTTTTATAAAAATCAGTTTTTCATATCCAGTTTTTAAAAAACAGTTTTTTTAACTGCTTATATCCAGTTTTTAAAAACTGTATAAAAATTTGTAAAATTATAAAAACTGTTTATAAAATAATTTGTATACTTTTTATAAAAACTGTTTATAAAAATTTGTAAAATTATAATTAAACATGTTAAGTTTGTGAAATGAAATGAAATAATGACAATAACTAATTTTGACTAAATTAAATAAAATGCACACAATTCACAATAATAATGCACAAAATATAAGTAATTACCTAATACTTAAATTTAACTAATATTATAAAAAATTTAAGTAATTTAACACTACATTTAAATTTAACCTACGTTTAACTAAATTTAACTAATCCATTTCGTTATTTAATTAACAACCTTTTTTTAAACACATTTCAATTAACTAATATTTAAATTTAATTAATATTATCAAAAGTTTAACGAATTTAACTTAATTTATTTTACTTAATGCATCACTACGTTTAAACCTACGTTTAGCTAACTAATTTAACTTAATTAACACATTACTATGTTTAAACCTACGTTTACCTAACTAATTTTAATTTAATTATTTTGTAAACCTAAAAATTTAACTAATGTTATGACATCACCACGTTTCTAGTTAAATATGTTGCTAATTAATTAATAACTTCACTAATTTAATAGTTTTAATAATTTAAATTGAACCAACTAATTCTAAATAAAAGTAATAATTCAAATAACATACCTTATCTGCATAAACAGGGAAAATGACATAAGATAGACTACATCCTTCGATATTTGAAACAGATACTGTATTATATAGTACTGGGAATGAATTGGTGTGGTTCTGTTGAATGAGTTGGTCCTGCATATATAAAAAATTTAGTCACGGACTTAGTCACGGATTTGTCCGTCACTAAGCAAAATCGTGTACACTACGCGTCCAAACCGTGTAAGTGACGTGCAAATGACGACAGCGAATAATTTTATTAAATTTAGTGACGGACTTAGTCACGGATATGTCCGTGACTACTTTTTTCGGTACAGAATACCGTTGTGAAGTAATTCCTGGGAGTTGGAAAATTAATTTTTTTTACTAGTCACGGATTTAGTTACGGATGTGTCCGTGACTAAGTCACCGGAATAAAATAAACTTCGCCGGAAACGGAATCGGAGCTATCGGACCATTTTAGTCACAAATCAGACCGTGACTAAATTTAGTCACGGTCGTAGTCATGGCCAGATCCGTGACTAATATTTTTTTTAAATATCCGTGACTAGTCCGTGACTAATCCGTGACAAAACTAGTCACAGACCAAATCCGTGACTACGGTCCGTGACTAAACGCGTGTTTTTTTTGTAGTGTCTAACACCACCAATTTTAACTTGATTTGGTACACAACATATATATAATATATAAATATCGTAATGCTCTTACATTTCAAGACAATCAATCGGGAGGAGTTGATCTGTCAGTGCCATCATAGACAATTTGAGAAGCATGACAGCCTTTCAAAAAACAGATCAACCAGAGCTGAATTAAGGACTGAGTTCAAACAAAGAGTTCATTTAATTTGTTGTAAACTTAGAAACAAGCTAAATTGATGATATTTGATAAATTTGTGGTTTAAAAGACTGAATTTGCTTAAACCTATTAAATTTTAAATATGTTTGTATTTTAGAAACCCTTACCTCTGTAGGTGGGAGCCTTTGCGACACTGCAGTAAATGAAAATGATGAAAATGAAATGTTTGTATTTTAGAAAACCAATACATTCGGTGTCAAAAAAAGAAACCCAATAAATTCGACTAAATGAAAAATAAATTAATGCTACTCTCTTCTTTGATTTCACAAAATTCGAATTGAAAAATAACTCTAGTTAATTAATTGGTAAAATAAGACAGAAAGGCAGTACAGTAGAGGAATGTACGTAGGAATAGGTAATATGGGACACACCAAATTAACCTAGTGCCGATTCTTAACAAATTAATTCCACTTTTAGTTTTATATCTATTCAACATTTAGTTCACATCATACGAAGTACTCCCTCCGTTCTCTAATAGATGGGAGTATAGGCTTTGGCACAAGATTTAAGATGAAATTAATAGGGGTAGTATAAAAGGTGTAGTGGGTTGTGTGTAAAGGAAAAAGTAGGAAAGAGAATGAAAAAGTAGGAAAGAGAATGAGGGTAAATGGGTATATTTATTGAAAAAACTTACCAAAAGTGGAAAGAGGGACAACTAATAGAGAACATCCCAAAATGGAAAGAAGGCCAACTATTAGAGAACGGAGGGAGTATCTTTTTCTTTGTATACTTTCGATACTTGACTAATGTTTCAGAGTTTCTTGACCATTTGTTATCTTTTCGTCCAATTTTCCGACACATCTCGGAGATTTTAACCACTGAAAATACCGACAGAAGGATAATATTGTCCCACACCGGAAAGCTATAAAATAATAAAATACTGTATATATAAGGTTTTGCGCTACTCCTCATATCAGGTTTAACCTTTTAATTAGGATGAGATCTCAGGTCTCAACATGGTATCATAACCATTTCCGGTTGTGGTTTGACTGCTTGTTTATCACCCATGACTACAAGTAGCTTGTTGAGGGTCTGTTTGGCCCATTTATACACCCCGATATTTCCCAACCCAATTTGGGTTGAGGGGACGTGTTAAAGTATTTGTCCCACACCGGAAAACTATAAAACCATAAAATACTACTACCTTTTAGAATGAAACCTCATGTGGTAACAAATATATTCATGAAAAATGATAACCACGTACCAAAAATAGTTAAATTGATGCATACTCATGGGTAAGACAAAAAATGGAATTTACTCATTCTTGAACTTTTAATTGTTCAAATATTGGAATGGGTCAGCAGTAAGACTGGTTTCCTTTCTTCAATCTTCAATTCTATTGACCACTGACCGGTCTAAGCTGGAGAGAATGATGAGCATTCCCACTTTCTCCGGTCAGCACTAAGACTGAAAATCTAGCTTGAAATGCCTTTCTCCGGCCACCCTCTATATATATATCTTCTCTAATTTACCTTCATTTTTATCTCCATAAATTTACCCACTTTACTGCATGCTGCTTTCACTACAATATCTTCACTTTCCTCAACAATCAATCGGTTGGTTTCAAGTTCCGATCAATTTCATCAGTTATGAATGTTTTTTATCACAAAAAATGATAATGATATTGATTTGCAGAAATGGAGAACTTAGGAGTCGATGGAGAGATGAAGAAGCTGATAAGTGAGCTGTCTCACGGGCGGGACGCCGCCGCGCAACTTCAGATGATTCTGAACGGGCCGGCGCCTCCGCCGACCCGTTCTGATCAAGAAGCTTGCGAGCTTTTGGTTCAGAATGTCTTGTCTTCCTACGAAAAGGTGCTCACCATGCTCAATTCCGAATCTTCGACGGCGAACACTACTCGGGCGGCGGTGCCACCATCTCCGGCAGGGGCCACATTTGGGATTCAATCTTCTTCTTCACTTTCCGGCAGTCCCCACAGTGAAGATTCCGACCGGGATGGCGACGGGTCTCGTAAGAGGTATGTGATTTTGTCATTAATCGATTTTGGCTTTATCGATTTGGTTTTTAGTCAGTCGATTTTAAAAAAGGTGAAACGAGCCAAGAACCGAAACGCACAACTTGAGTCGGTTTCGATTCAGTTAATTTCAATCAGTTTGTATTAATTATTCGATTCCGGTCGACTTAATCACGTTTTGATCGGGTTTTTTCGGTTGATTCTGCTTCCGTCGGTTTTTCAACCTAAAATATAAATCGCAAACCAAATCATCGATGAGTTAGTCGGTTATAGTCGGTTTCGGTTTCATTCGGTTCAGTGTCATGACCAGTACAGTTCCTTTTCCCGGGGAATTGGATTTGCAGGAAAGCTCCTCGTTGGACGCAAAAAATTAAGGTTTGCAAGGGATCAGAGCCTGAAGGACATGTGGATGACGGCTATAGTTGGAGAAAATATGGGCAGAAAGAAATCCATGGAAGCAGATATCCAAGGTTCACATTTTAATTTTGTATTTTTGCTCATTAATTAATTGTTTTACTAATATGGCCAATCCCATCTTAATTAGCTTCAATAACTTTCACAGTTAAGGCTAAACATAGCACATTTTCATAAATAGACCAACTTGTTTTAGGATATGATACATCTTTTTGCTGAAAACATGACTTAATCTCTAAAAAATAAGTTTAGCTTCTTCTAAATTACAGTTCAATAAACTTTTTATACATAGTACGGAGTATATGAATATGCCTCCTCGTGTGATTTATTGTTGTATATTCTCGTTCCGCCAGAACTTGACTCACACGTGAAATAAAAAAGAAAGTTTTACAATTAAGATTTGTACGCCATATCAAAAGTTAATACGGTGTATTAGACGCACATTATTAATTATTAATTACATTAAAAGAAAATGACAATTTTTTTGGGAACTAAAAAGAAAGTCCGAAGTATCAAAATGAAAATCAAAGTAGTATGAATGAACACTTTAATAAGTATGGGAAAACTTGAGCAGTTTTGGGCATTGCATGGAGTTAATAAACTTATTCTTAATTTTAATTATGCACATTTGCAGAGCTTATTTCAGATGTGCCCATAGACACACCCAAGGTTGTTTGGCAACCAAACATGTCCAAAGATCCGACGAGGACCCAAACATTTTTGACATTACTTTCCGTGGAAAGCATGCTTGCAAGCAGTTCCAGCCCGGTAACAGCAGCCCGCCACCCCTGCCGCCACTGCTAATCCCACCGCAAAATCAAGAACCAATAATCTCGGCTATGGAAAGCCAACTTGTGATTAACCCCTTCACCAAACAAGCCCAGCGCCCATCAGGAGACGTCCTTAAAGTTGAAACCAGCAATGTGAGCATTGCCCATCAAGAAAACCATCTATTGTTCAATTATTTTGACAACCTCTCTTCGTCAATCTCAAATCCCAAAAATGATCACTATAGTTTCCAGCCTTACGACCAGAACTTCGGCTGGAATGTTCCTTCAGGCGGCTTTGGCCTTATTGATGGCGGCGGAAGCCAAAATGTGGAGCTAAAATCAGAATTAGCTGCATCTAGTGAAGCTAGTAGGATCACTCCCCCTCCTTCAAGGGCGGTTCAAACGACAAACTCATCTTTCGTTGACCAAGGATTCCCTTTTGTCACAATGGGATTTGACTCTAATTTCACCTTTGGTGACCATGATGATTTCTTCCCATAGCTCATTTTCAGGTAAATTTGATTAAAAAAAATATATTCTCAATTTGAATGTATCTAGATTATAAGTGTGAATGTGTGATGTCAATAAGACATTTGTTAATAATGTCTTATTAAATTTTGAGTTTGTCTACTTTTGATACATGACAACTTTTTGTACGTTCATAGTCCTTCTGACCAAAATTTGCGTCACATATATAACGTCTGAAGCGATTATAAACACCAGTGATATAAACGGGGAAGTAGCCCTAAATATGAGCAAATGAGGTTAGGAATTCCAAAATAAGACTAATATGTTTTTCTTCCCAAAATAGGAGTTGTTACTGCCATGTGTGAAAAATACTGCCATAATTGAAAAATACTGTCATTAATTAATAATTATAATAACTATTTGATAGTCACGCCTACAAGATAACAGTAAATACTGTCATGTTGGTCCTATTTCGGTCGGGAATAAAAACATATTATTCCTATTTTGGAATTCAAACTCCATTTACTCATATTTTTGGAAATCTCAAATTGTAAAAACAATAGTCATATATTACAAATGAATAGTCAAAAGATGTAGAGGTTGCGTAGGAGTGATATATACGAAGTATAAAACTCCTAGAACATTAGTCATATATGTATGTGTAATTTTGGGAGATCAACGACGATCTCGTTTGCATACTATTTGGTAGCCCAAAAAGCACTTTAGTTCATACTTTTTTTTACGTACCTGTCTTACTATCACGTTCCTCGCAAGCCCGGCCGGTAAACTGCGTACAATATGCGGCATTAGATGTCAATTAAGATAAAAAGTTAGCTACTCGGAGAATATGGGATGTGCATCTTTGTTGAAAAAAAGAAACAAAAAATGATACATACAAATTATACATTTATACTAGAGTCTAGACTCTTTTTTTGGAATATTCTTCTAAATCTATTATACTATCTGTTCTTCTTAATGTCAACATTCTTGATCGGGATGAGACTCTGAGTTTCAATCCACCATAGCTCATACGGAGTATATAGATCCTCCCTTGTAGCTTGGGGCGTGTTTGGCTTGGACTGCTACAATGTCGATCTTGGGTGACACATAATAAAGAAGGTTCTATCTAGCAAATACATGTAATGCATGAGTCACATGCATAAATAAGACATCAATCTCTTAAATTTTCAATTAATTAAAAAAAGTCTTTTTCATTCATACAAAGGGAGTAAATATTTCTCGTAGTGATTGAGACATACTTTTATGATTGATTAAAGAAATTGTGGCCGTATTGTTAGGAATTTAATTCACGCACACAAAAAACAATAATGAAGAACACACGGAATTTGATAACCCAGTTCGCCATGAATGACTACGTCTGGGGGCGCTACCAAGTCAGGAATATTATTGCTATTTTCGGATTCGAGAGATTACAATGGGAGAGAGCTTGTATTTATAGAGAGTAAAACCTACCCTTAATCCAACTAGGAGGCTAAATTAAATTTTCCCAACTTGTCCTAGTATAATTATGCAGTTTTAGGGTAATAATTATGCATTTATGTGTACATGTATTATTATATGAAATACTCTATACAAATTATGGTATATTAAGTTTTTGTATCGTATAATTTTGTTAATGCCCCCCAATATTCATAGCCTTGCATCATTGCTTGCATAGTTGCATATATACGAGTATTTGACCGAGTCACCGGGAATCCGAAATAACATTTTACTTTACATAAAAATAATACGGAGTATCGTATACGAAGTAATTTGTGATTTTAAGTCCTTTCACTTTCAAACTTGCCTTGTTAAGAAATCAACGGATATTGTTAATGATTAGTAGCTGCTGAATTATGTTAGCAAACATCAATGAGCTAAGTGTCTTAGAGGTTTGACCATTATATTAAATTAAAGGAAGAGCTCTAATCATAGTAGTTAAATATGATATATTTATTTAACTGAAAAAAGTTATACATAAAATATAGTAATATAATACTATACCGAGTATATATTATGTATGTTATGTTTTCCATTTCATATTTATTTAATTTGATAAATTAGTCAATTTAATTACAAATTTACAATCTCCATCCTTTTCAATTTAGTATTTTTTTACTTCTCCAGTCAAAGATGATAAACGTTGACGCATTACTTTAACAAATTTATTTATGTGAAATTTAATAAATTTGTACTTCTATGACATGGAGTAGTATTTTTAACAATTACATTTTATATTATTTTCATATATATTACCGTGCATAAATATATAGTTAGTTAAAGTTTAACATCATTGACATAAAAGTCAAATTTGGTTAAATAAAAAGGGACAAAGGGATTATTCGGCAGTGTTTATGACATGAAAGGTATCATCATGTGTGTGTTTTTTTTTTGTTGAACAAATGTCCTTTTTCTTCTTCAATTCATGCTCTTAGATTACTTGCATCTTTGAGGGTTATCACCGGCGTTACTGCGTTAATGACATTGTTAACGCTAAATAATTCTTTTTTCATTCAAAGCAGATGCGACTTGAAGGCTAGGATCAAGGATGTGAGAGTAATTAAGTAGTACGAAGTATATAATCGGACTGTGCTTTGGGGTTCTGAAATGCCAATGGACGTACTCCTATTGTGTTTCTCTCTTGGTGAAAAACAAAACAATTTGAGACATTACATGCATGTGATGGACGGCTGAGGTTGAGTACAAACCCAAGCGAGAAGTTAAAATAAGACTAAGTATTACTTTAATGTATATATATATAGATATATAGATATAGATATACATATAGAAGATATAGTTTATGTTGAGGGGTTGCCCCAGTTTAATACTAATGTGCCTTTACACCACATAATATATGAATAAAATGTACGTAGATTGTTATAAGGTAAGATAAGGCTATATACAAGAAGTAGATTAGATACATAGTTTTGTACATTTGTTGTCTATCAACCCTAGACGAATACATATCGAGCAAAGCAATGAGTATATGTTTTGCTGTGATTATATGACAGAGAAAAGAAATAGAGAGCACAGAAAATATGATTAAAATACACTAATCCCCTATACAATTGGAACGTAATCGCCAAATCAGCAACTAAAAAAAGAAAAAACAATGAACATCATACACAGTCCTCAAAGATTCATATGTTTCGTTTATCAATTAACAACGCAAACAATAAATGAATTATTTAGGACAAAAATTAAGCTTGACTTCGAAAAAATTAGGGAATTTGATATTAAAGTAAACACAAAACAGCAAACCTCATGAAGATTCAGTATGCTGGTCGTGTACGGTCTAACGGGAAGTGGATAGATCGGTTTGATAGAGATGATTTGTCAATCAAGATGATATGCTATTGGACGGGGAAGCGAAGCCGTGAAGGGAAACATACATACCGGCCTGTTTATATTTGGACGGGGAGGGTGACGAGTGACGACGGACGATGAGGGGGAAACTTGTGTAGACGGTGAGGGGGTGAGTGGAGACGAGAGGTGACCACTGACTAGAGGCTTCCCAATTAAATGATGTGGGCTTTGCGGTAAACATATACCAAGTACATACATACTAAACATGCCGATCATCAGTTTATGTGTAGTAATAGGGCTGATCACGCTGATGTATATAAGGGCCTGGACCGATCATAAGTAATGTTATGCTGAAAATATGTGCTCATAACAAATTAACAATATTAATATTTGAACTATCAAGCACAAAAAATCACAATAAAATTCTTTAAAGACATCTGTCATGAATTGTAAGAATGCGGTCTCTAAAGTTTTATCATGTTCATTTTAACAAATTAAATTTTCTTTAGTAAAACTAAACAGTTGATGCTCTTTAATAATTTTGTGAATGTGTACACTACATGGTGGACCACCAAACCAAATTATTTTATCATTTAATTTACCTTATATATATTCCTTATAATATACTAATTTTGTGACTTATATGTGTAGGCCTTTATTGTATCATACATATATTATACTATTTCTAAAACAAATACTATGTGAATCTTAGTTTGAAATTTTGATTTGTATTATCTTACACATAATACAGAGTATATAAAATCATTTTTGTCCCGTGCATCGCACGGGTGCAATACTAGTATACTTTAAAGTTGAAACGGCAATTAAATGAAATAATAACTCTTACCGTGTCTTAGAGTTCTAGACGTACTATAATAACTGAGATGGAAAGTCCTCACTAATTAGATCAATTAGTTCTTCACGCCAAAATGTGAAATTGTTGAATGTGGGAAGAGTATTCAAATTAAATCGATCAATTCAATCACTTCAATAAGTTAAATGAAGATTAATTAAATAATACTTATGACATGACCAAATACATTTCATGGTCGCCAACGACATAAAATATTCAAATATGATCTGTTGTAGGGAAGTGAGAGTGGTGTTCATTCCATTAGTAAGCCCCCTTTAAATAGGAGTGATTAGGGTTTTACAAGGAGTGGGCCAATGGGCCAATTAGCTCAATACATATAATCCCTAGATACACTTTCTATCTATAACGAATGCACATTAAAGTAATTTCCTTCAACACTCCCCCTTGTGCTGAGTTGTAGATAGCATGATGCACACCAAGCTAGTTGTCGTGTAGGAACTTCGTCAAGTAACAAAAACCCTGTGGGAAAAATAAACCTTGACGAGAAACTAGAGTTTATTGGACTTCGTTCATTGAGTCCTTTTGAATTCTTTACCTTGATCGTTACTCACAGTTACCTCGTTAAAAACCTTACCAAGTAACAAAAACCCAATGGGAGAAAATAAAGCTTGGTTTAAGGAAAAGAGTATAACGTGAGGGTGTAAGACTCCCCCTGAAGTCTACACCTCCCCTTGATATTTACATTAATCAAGGGATTTCAGAAAGCTTACACATTCCAATGTTTTTCACATGTTTTTCGAATGTGGCCTTGGGCAATGACTTGGTAAACAAGTCTGCTATGTTTTCTTCCGAACTTATTTGATTTACTTGGATCTTGAGGAAGGCCTGTTGTTGCTGATTGTAGAAGAACTTGGGAGATATGTGTTTTGTATTGTCACCCTTGATGTATCCTAATTTCATTTGTTCGATACAGGCTGCATTATCCTCGTAGATGCAGGTTGGCTCTTTAGTGGTAGGCTTTAAGCCACTAGTTCCTCGAATGTGTGCAATGATAGCTCTTAACCATATACACTCACGGACCGCCTCATGTAGAGCAATGATCTTTGAGTGGTTCGAGGAGGTAGCCACAAGGGTTTGCTTAGTTGATCTCCGGGATATTGCCGTATTCCCGATTGTGAAAACATAGCCAGTTTGGGAACGGCCTTTGTGTGGGTCGGAGAGGTACCCAGCATCAGCAAAACCTACCAAGACATCATTTGGGGTTTTCAGGGGGGGTGACCGTTTTGTCCTTTGCGACCACAACTCCATTTGTGGTTTTCTTCGTCTCTCTGTAGGGAAAGAATAGTCCCAAGTCACTGGTCCCTTTAAGATATCTAAAGATATTCTTGATACCGTTCCAGTGACGCTGCGTAGGCGCAGAGCTAAATCTAGCTAACAAGTTCACTGAGAATGCTATATCGGGCCGAGTGCATTGTGCTAAGTACAATAATGCGCCTATTGCACTTAGGTATGGAATTTCAGCTCCTAATGTCTCCTCGTCATCTTCCTTTGAACGAAATGGATCCTTTTTAGGATCTAGACTTCGGCCCACCATGGGAGTGCTAGCAGGGTGCGCTTTATCCATGTTAAATCGCCTGAGTACCTTTTGGATATACGCAGACTGGTGGATTAATACTCCACAAACTCGATGTTCTAATTCAAGACCTATACAAAATCGAGTTTTCCCAAGGTCTTTCATCTCAAACTCGGATTTCAAATAGCTTGCGGTTTCTCTTATTTCGTCAAGAGTGCCAATTATGTTCATGTCGTCGACATATACTGCTATGATTGCAAATCCGGAACTCGTTTTCTTTATGAATACGCAGGGGCAAAGCTCATCGTTCTTGTATCCCTTCCTAATCAAGTAGTCACTTAGGCGGGTATACCACATCCGCCCGGATTGCTTTAATCCGTAAAGTGAGCGTTTCAACTTTATTGCAAACGCACTCCGTGGTTTAGAGTCACTTGATTTAGGTAGTGAAAGTCCGTCGGGTACTTTCATATATATCTCTGAATCAAGATCCCCATAGATGTAACACCGTCCCCAAATATATTTACTTTTATGTAAATAATGTATTGAACCTTATTAAATGATTAATGAATTTACGAAGTTGTAAATTTTTATTATTTCTTTCGCGTGAATAGTAAATTGCACGTGGGACCCACACCGGGAGCGGGGGCCGCCCGACTTTCCCGAGACCATATATTTTATTCATCTTGGTCTAGATAATAAATATATAGTGGTGTATATTTCATTTGGGCCATGGAAAGAGTTACATCACACATGTAAATGTCATCCACAAGTTTCGCAACTTCTACCTCGCAAACAATTTTTTTTGCACAAGTTCCTGCACAACGACATAAAAAGTATTCACGTCATTAGTGAAAAAGTGAGCAGACTAGCAGATCATGAATGACGCTAAACTAAAGTTTCTGATTGGAAATGATTCTAGTATACTCTTGAGAGACAAAGACACTCTATGATGAACAAAAACTAACTAACACATCAATATTCCACAAATTGGAGAGCTTAAAATTATATTTCATAACAAAAGCATGACATAAAGTTAATAAAAGCTAAACAACCTCATGTCCAGGCTCTTGAATGACAGAACCAATGCTTAAAGCACTAAAACATTCATTAAACTTATACTACACAAAAAGACAGTACAAAAGCAATTACAACCACAATTACTATGGGCAACAAAAAAGAAATACTGCCTAAGAAACTTTTACATCTAAAATAACATCTCATATTAGAAGAGAAGAAATCAAATTCTCTTATCCGATTCTCAGACGGTATAGCTAATAGTAGTTTAACAAGGTCCTACAGAAAGCCAAATACAAATGGAATACTTTTGATACCCCATAGTATTCTTACACAACCATCTTATTAGAACCAATGTAAATAGTAGATATGCTCTACTTGAAATGATATGCTTATCTAGAAGCTAGCCACTGAAACCATAAAAATATATGGTAGTCATAGGTTCTCACCAATAAACTCCGCAAAAACATCCTCATACTTATATATGGCAAAAGCTTGCTAACCTGTAAGACTGTAAAGTGTACGAATATCTTGCTAACCAGTAACATCGTCATTCTAAAAACATCTGTACTAGCAAAATCCAGTCTAAAAATAAACAGAATGAATATCTTGGGATATCTTACTAGTTATAAACAACTTTTTTTACTAAAGTGAACAATACTTTTCTGAACATAAAACCTTTCACATTTACAAGTAGATGAAGCATGTGCATTTTATAATAAGTAATTACCTGCTCCTGTGAACTCCCCAGCAGTAGTTTCAGCCTGTATAAGAAAAAACTAGTACTCAGAACACGCTTCACAAGAAATAGTTAGTACAACACAAAAACTAGTTGACGTGCACTTTGTCGTGCGTGCACTCAAAATAATATTCAATACTAACACTTATACGTAGTATAGGTCAAGTAGAGTTCGTATCCACAGGGAAAGGAATAACTTTCTTTTTATGTAAATAGTAAATCAAGGGGGGTTTTGATTGTTGAGTGATTTAATTAAATTAAACACGAAGATGAACGAGTTATATGGGATTAAATTCAAGAATAAAAGGGACTTGGTCTTGCTACTTTCCACTTGTTGATATATTTTAGTCGATCATTGTTATATCTATAACTTATCCCCTCTCGAATACTCAATCGAGGAGTATATCCAATTCATCGAGGGTAGTTATTAACAACGACCGTTCATTAATAACTCTTACTATTTATCAAATATAGAACAACGCCGTATACCGATATAATAGTAGCTTTTAACCTCTTTAACTCCTTGATGAAATCAATTAAGATTGATAACCTCAACACAACGGTTTCGGTTTAACCAACAAAATTAATCCCTATTAAGTTTATTAACCACGACCGTGCATTAATAAACCGAAGTTACTTACTTATGAAACCGTCAACGTTTAACCATCGGTTCGTTGAACGTTTCTAGTAATAATCAATGTTGGAACGTTAACTAATCGTCACTTAGCCACCCTCCAACATTAATATAGAATGAGATTAAGGGAAGAATTAATAATCAAGAGGAGAAAGTAAGAAAATAACTCACAACTTTAATAATCAATCAAGCTTCAAGAGCAAAACCAAGAAATGGAAGTTTAGCTCCTCATTTGGAGACTAAACATGCTATAAAAATATAAAAGAAATACTATTCTAAACTAAGCTTAAGAGTATGGAAGAAGGGATTGGTGAAAAGTGAAGGAAAATGGGGCTATTTATAGGTGTTTTCAACACCCTGGGGCATTTACCCGACCGGGTCAAGTGCCCACCCGACCGGGTAAATGTCAAAA